AGAGGTCCAAAAAGCCAATAAGGAAAAGAATGCCTTAAAAAGCAGAACTGGCCAAATGGGGTCCAAAAGCTCACTGAAGAAAATAATTCCTTAAAAATTAGAATGGAACAAATGCAAACTAATGACTATATAAGAAATCATAAAACAAAACCAAAAGAATGAAAAACAGGAGACAATGCAAAATATCTCATTGGAAAAACAACTGACCAGGAAAATAAATTCAGGAGAGAGAATTTAAAAATTATTGGACCACCTGAAAGCCATGATCAAAAAAAGAGCCTTTCTTTCTTTCTTTCTTTCAGGAAATTATCAAGGAAAACTTCCCTCATATTCTAGAACCAGACGGTAAAATAGAAATTGAAAGAATCTACCGATCATCTCCTGAAAGAGATCCCAAAATGAAAACTCCCAGGAATATTATAGCCAAATTCCAGAGTTCCCAGGTTAAGGAGAAAATACTGCAAGCAGCCAGAAAGAAACAATTCAAGTATTGTGGAGCCACAATCAGGATAACACAAGATTTAGCAGCTTCTACATTAAGGGACTGCAGGGCATGGAATATAATATTCCAGAGAGCAAAGGAGATAGGATTACAACCAAGAATCACCTACCCAGCAAAACTGAGTATAATCTATGAGGGGGGGAAAATGGACATTTAATGAGATAGAGGAATTTCATGTGAGAAAAGACCAGAGCCAAATAGAAAATTTGACTTTCAAATACAAGACTCAAGAGAAGCATGAAAAGGTAAACAGGAAAGAGAAATCATAAGGAACTTAATAAACCGTTTACATGCCTACATGGAAAGATGATATTTGTAACTCATAAGACCCTTCTCATTATTAGGGTAGTCAGGAGTACCCTATGAGGGGTATGAGTTCAATATGAAGGGATGATGTCTAACAAATAAAATTAAGGAGAGAGGAATGTACTGGGAGAAAGAGAAAGGGAGAGGTAGAGTGGAGTAAATCATCTCACATAAAAGAGGCAAGAAAAAGCTTTTACAGTGGAGAGGAAGAGTTAGGAGATAAGAGGGAGTGAGTGGACTTTACTCTCATCAGAACTAGCTCAAAAAGGGAATAACATACACACTCAATTGGGTACAGAAATCTATCTTACCCTACACAAAAGTAGGGGGAAGGGGACAAGAGAAGGGGTGTAGTGATAGGCAGATTGGGGGAAGGGGTAGTCAGAAGCAAAACACTCTTGAGGAGGGACAGGGTGAAAGGAGATACAGAACACAGAATAAGCAGGGGAAGGGGGGATAGGATGGAGGGAAATAGAGTTAGTTTTTCACAACATGACTATTATGGAAGTGTTTTGTATAATTACACATGTATAACATAAATTGAATTGTTTGCCTTCTCAATGAGGGAGGGTGGGAAGGGAAGGAGAGAATTTGGAACTCAAAGTTTTAAAAATGAATGTTAAAATTGTTTTTACATGTAATTGGGGAAAAATAAAATACAAAATAAAAATTTTTTAAAAATCTTTTTCTTTTTTGGTCTGTTTTCTCTCGTAACATGACTAATGTAGAAATATGTTTTGTATGACTGCACATGTATAACCTATATCAAACTGCTTGCCATCTGGGGTGGAGGGGAAAGGAGACGGAGAGAATTTGGAACTCAAATAAAAAACAAATGTTAAAAATTTTTACATGTAATTTAAAAATTTTAAAAAAGTACTGCAAAAAAATTCTCATCATTCTGATTTATGTCTACTGTGCACTGAATTAACTATGACATATAAAAAGTTCGAGAGACATAGTTTCTGGGTAACTAATAATTTTATTAACCACAGTAGCAGATAATTCATAGAACCCATTCAAAGCTGATATGCCCTCAGAAGAGTGGCTGTTACTGAGGTTGGCAATTAACCTGATTGGTTAACAAGTAATGAGAGAATGGATATTACAATGAGAAGTGGATCTATTCTAATGAGGGGCAGGGGGACCTTACTGATTATGTCACTCATGGACAAAGAAAGACTATCTCAAGCCAGACCACCCCCGGCCTTGGGCAATCTAGTTTGCCTGAATGGAACACAACGGAAAAAAATTCACCTTAGACTAAATTCTTTTGTAAAGTTCTCTAGTTGGGTGGAGTCTCCCATACAGGATCAAAAGGCATATACCCCAGGGATTTGGGTAATTTTATTCATCAACAATGTCCTTCAGAGACTGAAAGACCCACAGGTTTATGAAAAAATCCTGGTCTTAATTCAATAATTGATTATTAATATAAAAAAGAAATCAGTAGATGTTGACTTAATTAGGAAGATCCAAGTGAACCTTTACAGAGTTCTTTACAGAAATTTATCTATCTCTTCATCCTCTGCAACAGGTGTTGTTTAATATTCTGCAATTTAATATTTAATATTCTGCAATTATTTTTTCATAGTGGTCTTTTTGCAGATACTTAGTATAAATATTAATGAGCAAATGTCCTACAAAATTATGCTCTGTGGTTTTTTTGTGCACAATAAGAGAAACTTCAGTAATCAATATGGTATTATAGAAAAAGTACTGGCGAAAGAGTCAAAGGATGAGAACTCAAACTCTGCCACAGATCCTACATGGATGACCTTGGACACATTACTTAACTTCTTTGACCTCAGTTTTCTCATCTGCAAAGTGGAAGGATTAGACTATATCTCTGAATTACCTTTCAGTTTTATGTCATCATGAACTGATCTTTTTTCGTCTAAGAAAGAACCTGTCATTCGTTCCTTTAGCTATGCCATTCTTTTTTCTGGTTTCATTTATAGCATGAATTTCAAGACTGATATGACCTTACTTCCTCCTTTATTTTTTTTATACACACACACACACACACACACACACACGTATACATGTATATAAAAACATTACTGTACCTATCCATCAACAATGTAATCACTTTTTTTTTAAAGGCAGTTGGGGTTAAGTGACTTGCCCAGGGTCACACAGCTAGTAAGTGTCAAGTGTCTGGTCTGGGGCTGCATTTGAACTCAGGTCCTCCTGACTTCAGGGCCGGTGCTCTATCCACTGCACCACCTAGCTGCCCAACAATATAATTACTGAATGCAATGACTGCTCAACAAAGTGTTCATTACTGCTACTTAACTCCTTAGCAGAATCATATTTTTAGTCATTCTTTTATAACATGAGAAACATGCCATGCATACTTTAAAAATTGCTTAGGAAAAATAAATAATATCATATTCCCAAAAGTCCTATTTAAAAATGTATTATCAAATTATGTAGAATATTAAGACTTATTTGGAGTTCCTTGCCTTTTGACATAGAATATGGTTATGCTGCTTGATTTTTTTTTTTGAAAAATAACTTTAATGAACTGAGACACAGAAAGTTCTCAATAAGTATTTGAATGATGACAATGAATATTTATTAAAAGTAGCTAATATCTACCACAGGAAAGAATAATTAGCAAATGCATTTAATTGCTAGGTTGTTTTTATTTCCAGAAAAAGTTTTATTATTCAAACCCCTTCAAACAACCTGAAACTACTCTCTCCAAGGTACCTCTGCCCATTGTTAAATCTGCCCTTAATTGTTAAATCCAATGTTTTTTCCCTCAGTCTTCATCCCTCTAAACCTCTTTTTATCAAGTGACACTTTGGACCATACCTTCATCTAGATGCTTTCTCTCCCCTGGGTTTTTGTGACACTACTCTCTCTTGGTTTTCCATCTACCTCTCTAGACACTTCTTTGTAGTCTCTATATCCTGTCCTTTTCTGTGGTTGTTCCCCAAAGTTCTGATCTATATATATGTATGTATGTATGTATGTGTGTGTGTGTGTGTGTGTGTATACACATACACATACATACATGCAATATCCATCCTTTCTTTTTCCTTCATTGAAATTTAAGCTCCCTGCAAACAGGGATTGTTTCATTCACTTCATTTGTATCCTCAATATCTAGCATAGTAGTAGCTGTTTAAGAAATGCTGATTGATTGATATAATTCCTTTTACACATTCTATGTTCCAGCCAAATCCACTTACTTGCTTTTTCCTATATGGGACAAGTCATCTCCTGTCTTCAATCCTTTGTACAGACTGTCTCCCTGTTCTGGAATACAGTGTCTCCTCATTCTACGTGAGCCTCCTACAAGGCTTGGCTCAGGTCTAACTCCTATATAAAGTCTTTCCTGATCCCCCTAATTCTTAGTATCCTCCCCCTTAAATTACTTCCCATTTACTTTGTATGTATTTTGTACTGATTATTAGTGTGGCTGTTTCTTCCCATCAGTAGAATGTCAAGCTCTTGAGGGTAGGGACTGTTTCATGTTTGTCTCTGTATCCCTAGCACCTAGCACAATCGCTGGACATGATTAATAAAAGTTTGCTCAATCAATGATTCAACAAGCATTTATTGATTACTTTCTACTAAGTCCTGTAGACTAAGGATACAAAGACAAAGATGAAACACTCATATTCTACTGGGGGAAACAACTGTCTAAGTCTAAGTCTAAACAAGACAATGTGAGGGTGGGAAAAAGGCGCCAGTAATGGGGGAAATCATCAAACTCAGATGGAAGGTGGCACTTAAGCTGAACTTTGAAGGAAGCCAGGAATTACAAGAGAAGGAGTTGATGAAAGAACCAACGAATAAATATGCTCTGGTTGGAATTGAGAGCATGCGAAAGTGTTTGGTAAACCTAGCCTTCTGGTGTGAAACACAAAAGTTACAAAGTTCAAATACATTTTTTAAATCTAAATATAATTTCCTGTGGATATATGTGATCAATGTGGATGCCTTTTAAAAAACCATTCATCTTGAAAATGGAAGTGCAACTAGAAATATATTTTATGAACTTGATATTTGTTCTCTTACACTGTGGAATTGTAACTGTGTATGTGAATAAGTAATTTCAAATAATTTATTTTTGATTTCTTAAAATTTGGAAATTTAACAGCAATAACAAAAGGGAAATGAAGTCTTATAAATTCTCATACTGGAATAATTTTAAATTCATTTAGTATATACTTACAGCTTTTAATTCCATATTACCACCCACGTGAAATTCAATGGTTTTGCCCATAATGAATACACCTTCATTTCCACGGACAATGGCACGTCCATCAACTTTTATATTTAAATCACTTGTAGCATTACTGGTAATCTGAAAGAAAAAAAAACCACCAAAGAAATGTGTTAAAATATGGTTTATAAATCTGTGTAAGAATTATTACCATAAATAGTCACCCTATGTTTGTGAGATATTAATTTTTAATTCAAAAGGAAGAATTTCCCTGGGAATTTTGTAAGGTAGATATTATGATGTCTATTTTGAAGATGAGGAACTGAGTGACAGAGAGATTAAGAGACTTACCAAAGGAAATATATCTCAGTATTCTTCTCTTTACATTAAACTATATATCCTTGTACAATACTAAATTACATAAAACCATACTTTCATTTTAAAGAACTGGATAATAACTCCACCACTGTTACTCATATAAAAAGCAAAAATAAAATCCATACCCTTTCAGTAGATGCTTTTTGTACATTTAAGCTCTTTACTCCACTTGGCAAATGAAATTCATGGGTTTCATAGTCTGTACTGAATAAAATATTTTGAGTCCTTGGGTCAAAAAACTGCATGCCAATGTCACTTGTAATAGAAGTTTTGTTCTTTTCTATACTGAGTTTCGTTGTTCCTTGCTGAAAAACAATCTTTAGAAACATACTTTATGGTGAATATAGTTTCAAAACATATCATAAACAAAATCCATGGAATTATATTAAAAACATCCCTAAAAAAACTAGAGAGATTCTCTGCAGCCCTAATTTTGCACTATATGGAAAAGAAGCTGCTATAAAAGGATATCTTGTGTATTTGCATAATGGGTAAAGGAGTAGGGAACGGCTACTCCTAGAGACACAAAACAAATAGTTCACGGCTCTTCAGCATTAGGGTGCTGAGAGATATCTGTACAGGTACCTAATGGTACCTGGAAACTTTGCAAAGGAGAAAGATCATGTGATAATAAATACTTGGAAATAAACTATGTCAGGAAGCATCCTTGAGCAATGTAAGTTTTCTGGACTGAGAAGGTACATAATAGCCACCTTCACCTGAAGTAGAGGATGAGTACAATGCATATTCTTAATATTTTAGTACTGAAACTCCCCAGGGGAAAAATAATCATATATTGTCAGAGAATAAAGTATGGAATTTAAAGAAAACATCATGTTTCCCTATTAAGGTTAGATTTTCTAGTAAAAATAAAATGTTTATGGATTTTCTATAGAGAAAAATTTTGGCTTCCAACACTATTCCTAAAAAACTCTACAAATCATAGAGTTGGAAGAGACTAAAGAATTCATATGGTTTAATGCTCACTCCATGTTTAGTAATAAAAATGAGCATGCATTTTTAAATAAATAACTTATCTCTAACATCCCACTCCCATTTTTGCTTTAATTAGTATGATAACTTACCGGTTGGTTATTGCCAGTGATAACCAAATTTTCATTACGTCTGCCTCCTACTGTGCTCTTATAAAGAGGATGTATAACTCCCATATCAGATACTTGTTTAAATCGCAGCAGACCACTCTCATGGAATTCCATACTGTCACAGCCATTGGGTCCAATACGGATCACAGCCCAGATAACAAGTGTTATCTAAAAAAGTAAGATAAACTATTACATTCAGCATAACATCAGACATAACTAAAAGGAAAAAAGCCACAAATCTCCCCAAATAAAAAAAAGAAATAAGTGCTTTCTAAAAGAAATGGGGCACAAATGTTATAATCATAGAAATGGCATACTATTTATAAAAGACTTTTAAAGAATGTGATTTAAATAATAAATATGAAATAAATTTGTAAAAACATACGAAGTACTGGGAAACAAAGAAATCAATATACACATTAAATATAACTAGGAAAGGAAAAAGGTATGCCTAAATACTAAGTTGAATGAGCAGAGAATGGTAAGGGGTATAATAGGTAGAAATGATAGTATGTACAACATTTTGTACCACTAGTTTCTCACTTCTCTATGGAGAGGAGGATGTGTTTCATTATTTGCCTTCTGGAACCAATATTGTTCAGTGTATTTGAAGTGAGTTCAGCTGCCTTTTTATATTGTTTACACCTTTACATTGGTCATTATGTATACTGGTCTCTTGGTGGTTCTTTCTTTTCTTTGCGTAAGTTCGTACAAGTATTTCCAAATTTCTTGCGTTGTTCATATTCATTGTTTCTTATGGCATAATAATGTTCCATTACATTTATCTCTTCTTCTTAAGTAATTTCCCAATACTAACTCATCACAGAATAAACAGAAGATGGTGTGGAAGGAGTACTGCATTGGGCGCTGGAAAATATTCTTGGGAAGCAGCACAGTCAATAGAAAGCGCACTGGATTTGGAAATAGAGGATGTCGGTCCAAAACCCAGCTCCGCTTCCTACCTAAAAGACTAACTAGTCTTTTAACCTCTTTTGAATTTAGCTTCCTTATCTATAAAATGGAGTTGGGCTAAAGGACCTAATGAATACCCTTCTACTTCTGACTCTATGACCCTAAGACCTGAGTTCAAATTCCAACTATTTCACACAATTTACTAGCCCTGTGACACCAGGCAAGTCACCCAATCTCCCTCAGCCTTATTTGTCTTTTAAGAAATGAAGGAAGCAGTTCAGATGACCCCAAGACTGAAAAATCAGAGGAACAAATGAATACTTTATGCTAATCATGGACAACATAAAGAAAACTTTAAACATTCTGTATGTTTTACTCACAATTAAATTGATGACAGCCAAGATAAAAAGGAGAACAATCACACAGATGGCTAAATTGCCCTTTCTTCCTCTGAGGCCAGTTTTATGGAGCCGATCTTCATCAATTGGAATATAGCCAGCTTTAAAGTTACTGTTATGCTCTTTATTAACATTTCTTCGCTCAACAGCCTTCTCCCGCATAGACTTCTTTACAGGACCATTAGAACTTTGCTAGACAATGTAGAATACCACCAAGTTAATAAGCATACAAATTCATGCTCAAAGTAATAAAAGTTGACCTACCAATTGGAATTTTCACTAGTAATGAAAAAATAGATTTTGTATAACTTGCATCTATAGCAGCCAGCTACTCTATTTTATTAATTAATATAGAGTAGAAGGTTCACTTCCATAATTTGCTATATTATGCCCACTTAACCCTGATTGTCTCACGCAAATAAATAAATAAGTAAATAAATAAAAAAGGTCTATGGTCATATAATGCTGCGGGTAAAACCTAGTCTGCCGTTGAACTGCAGGGAACTGTGAGCTGATATAAAAGCTTTGGATGACCATGTGACACAACGGGATTTGAGTTGAGCCCTAAGAATGAGTAGTATTTGGGAAGTGTATGGAAGAGAGTAATGTGTGAAAAGACAGGAAAGGTGGGAGGGGCCAAGTTCTTTAAATACCAAACACAGGAGTTTATAGTTGGTCCTAGAGTAATAGGGGGTTGTTAAGAGTTTATATTGAGTGTGGGGGGAGGAAGGTTATATGGTCATGCCTGTGTTTTAGGTAAATTATTTTGATGTTTATATGAGGCATGAACTTAAATAGGGAGAGGTTTGAGGTAGGGAGATTGGTGAGAAATGCTAAGGGCCTGAACTAGGGTGGTGACTGCATGAGTAGAGGAAGGGGGCTTATTTGAGTGATGTCATGGACACAGAAATGTTTAGGGAGAAGATTTGGCAAATGATTGGATGCATGGGGTAGGAATGGAGAGTTGAGGAAGACGGAGGTTGTGAACCTGGGTGACTGGAAAGAGGGAGGTGTCAGTAACAGGAAAATTTGTACAGTGATTACCTCTTCTTCCTGGTACATGAATGGGCAAATCAGAGATAAGATGATAGCTCTACTCTCTCACTCTTCTAAGATGTTCTGGGAAGTGGCCCCAGGTAACTGGAATAACCATCCTGTGTGGGGGCTGAAAAATAATTGATGAGTGGGGTACTCCCTGAGCTCTGAACCCAGGAAGGAGTATGTAAATAGGAGGTATTCTGTGTTAGCACCAGAAAAGAAAGGGCATGACAACAAGTTAAGATGATCCAAGATGGGGCTGGAAGAAGAGTCTTACTCGTAAAGTACAAGGTCTAAGGCTGTGGAGCCAGTGTGCAAAATGGGGTGTAAGTAAACAGACACTCTGGTCTGAAGGTGCCTTTGGGCTATAAAAACATTTGGTTAAGACAGAGACTCAAGAGTGTCCTTGCCTGTGGGCTGCATTAGAGAACTGATCCACCAGAGAAATAAATGAGGACCATCTGCTCGAGGTTAATGAGAAACCTAGAAAACGAACAGAACAGAGAAAGGGACATATGATACCTCCCCCTGCTGGGAGCTGAGAAAAATGTGAAAGCACGGCAAAATGAAATACCAATCAGTGCTATCTGCTTAGAGTTCCTGGAAAAAGAGCAAGGCTGTGCAGATAGATAAAAGGAGCTGATAAGGTGCCTCTAGCTAGAGCCCTACTAAGGGTAACGCTGAATGTCACTGAGACTGTACTCTGTGTGTGTGTGTGTGTAGAGGGCTGCTCACTGATGGGTATTATAATTATTGGTTCTGATCCAAGTCCCATCTATTTCTCTTAACTTATGATGAAATTTGGGCCTTGAGACCTTGAGTGTTTGTAAGAGAAAGTGGTGGAAGTTACTACATCATTTGGGTGGAAATAATTAACTACAAAAGTGAGAAATCACCTATAGTAGGCTTGAGGCTGTCATATTTTAAGGGAGCCTCTAATACAAATTAACTCGGAAAAAAAAAAGAAGTATCCCAAAGAAGCTACAAGACGATCTCTTGCGAGTTCAAATTTTAAAAAGACATTTACAAAAGATGAAAACAAAAACATATAACCAAGGATGAATAAAAGTGGCCTAGAAATAGTGTCCAAAAAGCTAAAGCCCAGAACAACTGAAGTTTGTGAGGGAAAAAAAGGTTAATAGCAAATTAAAAAGCTTACTGACCAAGTCTTAGTATATATTTTGGTTTAAAAAAAAAGTTTATTTTCTCCTTCCCTCACTCTTAATACATGGACTTGTATACATGTGCCTGTATGATACATTACCTTTTATAAATAAAAGGATCAGTGTGAGAGAAACTAATCAGCTAAATCCTAGATAGTTGCTTAAAAGATCTGGAGTAAGTGATTTGTCCAGAGTCATAAGGCTAATAAATGTCAGAGGCAAAATATGTAGCCAAGTTTTATTGGATTCTTGCTGAATATAACCTCCTTGAGCACTTGACCTGCTCCCATTTTTCTATCTGTATCCCTAGCACCTAGCACAGTGCCTGGCACACTATAGGTACTTAATGGATACTTGCTGAATTGAAACATAAAATCCTCTGTCTTTAAAGTTCTATAAACTCAGGCTTCTTCCCACTTTTCCAGGCTTCTCATACCTTACTCCCTTCCATATATTCTGTGATCCAATGATTTGGTTTCCTTGCTTTTCCTTGAACATGATATTTCACTTCTGGACTCCAAGCATTTTCTAGGTCTATTTGACATGCCTGGAACTCTCTCCCTTCTCATGTCCAGACACTCGGGTTCCTTCAAGTTCAAGCTAAAATCTCATTTTTTCAAGACCTTTCCCAGTCCTTTTACTGCCTTCCCTCTGAGAATTCCTGGATCTAAGACCAACAAAGGAGCCCTTCTAAGGAGCCTACTCTACCACAATGCCACTCACTTATGTGTACTTAAATGACTATGATAGTGATTTAAAGTTGGTGACAGAACTAAGAACAAGAGAAACTGAATGTTCAAATGAAATCCAGGCTTCCCAGTATAAGGAAAAAGATTTCTAAAGAAAACAGAAAGCAAATTGAGGGAGCTCTTTGAGAGGAGATGACCAAGTTAGATTTGCTGTTCTCGAGGACTCAAGAGATTAGGGGAGCTCAGGGAAAGGCCGGCTTACACTGGAGAAAGAAGTAGAGTGGAACAAGAAGCAGTGGATGAACATTTTGGCTAGCTAAGAAGAACCCATATCAGAAACATATTGGGCTAGGGTAACTAGACAGAGTCATCAAGAATGAGGGGATCCTTAAGTAAGACACTTCCAAAGTTAAGTCACTGGACTTTAAATCTTTTCTGTTTATAAAGACTGTTTATAAAGATAATTGTTTATAAAGGTACACCAGGACTTTTAAAAATGCTCATGTTTTTAGTAGTTTTTGTTACATTCAAAAAAAAAAAAAGAAACAAGAGCAATTTACTGTTGAGCAGGAGAAAAAATGAGGGCTATTCTTGCAGTTGTAACCACAAGAGGAAGTACCAAGGCTTAGGTAGTATCAGTAAAGAGAACCTGGCATTTCATAACACACTTTCTATTATGTCTAAGAAAAATAGCATGGAAATTTAAGATCAGGCAGGAAAGCAGATAATAAAAGAGTCACAGTATGTTTTCTGAGATAACAAAAGTGGATGCCTATTGATTAGAGAATGTTGAATAAATTGTGGTATATGAATATAACGAAATATAAGAAACAGCAAACATAAGGTATTTAGAAACATACAAAAGATTTCTATGAACCAATGTAGACTGTAAAGGACAAAATCAGGAATACATATATATGTATATATATATGTGCGTGTGTGTGTGTGTGTGTGTATGCACAAAATGATATTGTTGTTAACAATTAAATTAAAAGAACACTAAAACAAAGCCAAATACTGAGCAACTGCAATGATCATCTTGGCCCCAGAGAACAGATGATAAAGTGAATCTCCCTCTTTTCAGTGGAGAAATGGGGGACTCCAGGTGTGAACCATTACATATGTGATCAAACACGGTCATTATATCAGTTAACTTTGCTTAAGTTTTTATTTTACTTATTTTTTTGGTTATAAAGGTCACGTTCATTGGGTATCACTTCAGTTCACTGTGAGTTTCCCCCAAGAATTTGTCCTAGGTTCTCTTCTCTATAGGCATCTTAAACTCAATTAAGTCCATAACTGAACTCATTAGCTTTTCCCTCAAACTTACCCTATTACAATCAAGGGTACTGCCATCCTGTTGATTCTATCTTCAGAGCATCTTCTGCATAAATTCCTTTATTCTTGTGATACTACCACCATATCACCTCAAACCTGGACTCTTGCAAAAGCCTGCTGGTTGGCCTTCTTGTCCCAAGTCTCCCCACTACAATACATTCTCTACTCAGCTGTCACCCTCCTATTCAACAATCTCTACTGGCTCCCTATTATTTCTAGGATCAAATACAAAATCTTCCGTCTTTAAAGTCCTTCATAACCTGACCTCTTCCTATATTTTCCAAGCTTCTTTATATGCTATTCTTCTCCACATCTTCCGTGGTCCAGTGATACTGGCCTCCTTGCTCTTCCTTGAATATGATCCTTCACCTCTGCATTCTGAGCATTTTCTCTATTTCCACGTCTGGAACTCTCTCCCTTCTCATCTTAACTTCTTAGCTTCCTTCAAATTTCACCTAAAGTCTCAACTTTGCAAGTCCTCCTTAACCTTATTGCCTTCCCTTTGGGGTAATCTCTATAATTTATTTCTTATCTATCACTTTTGGAAATTGTTGTTAGAATGTCATCTTCATTAGACTGTGAGCTCTTAGAGGGCAGAGACTATTTTTCTTTGCATTCTTTGTATCACCAGCACGTAGCAAAATGCCTTACATACAGAGGGCACTTAATAAATGCTCGTTGACTGACTGGTAGGTAAGTATAGCTAGAAAAGACTAAAGAAAAAAAAAAGCTTCAAGATGAGACTTGAAGGAAGCCAGGAGACGGAGAGAGTTCTAGACATGTCGAACAGACATAGAAAATGCTTGGAGTTCAGAGGTGAAGTAGCATGTTCAAGGAAGAGCAAGGAGGCCAGTATCACTGGATCACAGAACATGTGGAGAAGAATATGTGGAGAGGAGTAAGGTAAAAGAAGCTTAGAAAGGTAGGAAGAGGTCAAGTTATAAAAGACTTTGAACACACCAACAGAGGATTTTATATTTGATCCAGGAAGTAACAGGGAGCCACTGGAGTTTACGGATTAAGACAGTGAGAACTGAGTGGAGAATGGACCCTAGTGAGGATTCTTGGGGCTGGAAGACTCACCAGTAGGCTATTCCAAGAGTCTATGTGGGAGGTGATGAGGGCTTGCACCAGCATGGTGGAAGTGTCAGAGAAGAAAAGGGCATACACAAGAGATGTTCTGAAGAGAGGATCAACAGAACTGGTCAACAGATTGGATATGGGAGAGGAGAGAGAATAACTCCTTATTCTCTTAAGAATGACACTTTGGTTGTGAGTCTAGGTGACTGGGAAGATGGTGGTATCCTTTTTTTTTTTTTTTTGTCAATTGAAAGAATTCATATTGCCTGTCCATATGACACAAACTTCAAGACAGATAGTAATTAAAATGAACAATTCTATTGGCAAACAACAAAATACGCAAGCAATCGAGAGAAATATTGTCAAATATAAAGGGAAAAAAATTGAAATAACATAAGACTATTCTGTACCCACCAGAAACAGCATGAGGGAATGGAATGTGTTTTGAAGAGCAAAAGAGCTCAACTTAAAGCCCAAAATGACATACTCTGTAAATGTGAGATTCATCATTAATGAAAAAAGATGGATTTTCTTTTATTATTATATTTATTTTTAGTTTTCAACATTCACTTCTGTAAGATTTTGAGTTCCAAATTTTTTCCCCTTCCCTCTCCTCCCCACTCCCCAGGACAATCTGATACAGGCTGAAGATGGAGGTATCCTCAACAGTAATAGAAAAGTTAGGAAGAGAGGAAGGTTTGGTTTGAGGGAAAAGATAATGATTTCAGTCATGGACTCGCTGAGTTTAAGATGTCAATGGGACATCCAGTTTGAGATGTCAAAAAGGCAGCCGAAGATATGAAACTGCAGGTCAG